ATGGCAACTGTAACGTTAATACCGTTGCACATGGAGCGCAAATGAAATGAGACTCGAGTCAGATAGACGGAGATATCCATACACTCCCCGTCTAGCTCTCGCCCGCCGGAATCAGACATCAATGTCAGAAGCGTGTCTTCTATGCAATTAGTGCTTTTGTTGATTATGCTGCAAATGGTGGTTCGGGATTTTCGCCCATTTTTGCAGGGCTTACTTTCGAGGTGTCTGCGAATTTGGGCATAAAATTGAAATTACAAAACTATATGTTTAACAACTTGAAGAGCAGGCTTAATTTAAGAGAATTTGGAAATACATAAATAATATAAATAAAGGAAAGGCAACCAGAATCCTTTAAACGAACTAAATTTATTTTGTTACATCACACTTCCTATCATATCCATAACTGGAATAAAACAACAAATTATAATAAATTGCTTAAACAAAAAACATATTTATAAATATTAAACCGGAAATAACTGGAAAACCGGTTGAAGGGGCGCACAAAAAATGGGAAAACATTAAACAGATTTAAGCAAATTTGTTTTGGTGCGTATGCCATCAATAACTTTGGCAGCATATTTGACTTGTTACCCTCGGTTTGCCTGCAGGCTCTTTTGGGGGGTTGCTTGCTAAAAGGGTTATGTAAAAAATATATCGAGTTTTTCTTGCCTTTTTTTGGCGGCACCCACCCCGCCGTGGCTTACGCTATCTGACTTGGGCTAATGTTTGCTCTTCCCCAACTTCAAATTCATGCAAATGTGCTCCACTTCCAACGAGTGGCGTTTTTTTTAAGTCAAGAGGTGAGCAGGCTATCGTATAATAATAATACCAGAGAGCTGGAATCCACACGTCTGGCTAGAAAATAGCCAAGCCAGCAACGCAGCTTAGAAGGCTCTCGGGTTGCCCAAAAAAGTAGGCAACACTTGACAGTCTTTGGCAGCGACGTGGGCCGGGCTAATTCTGTGTTTCCTTTGCAGAGCCTGGCCTCAACTACAAAGCATGTAATTTTGAAGTCGATAAGCAACAGCGTAAAGGACCTAGTTGCCTGCCTTGCCTGCGTATTCTTCTGCTTTGGCATATATATTTTTGCATGAGAATCACGAAGTTGATGTCAAAAAAACATTTTCATACTTTATCGAATTTCTGCTTTTGGCCCAAGCGAAAATTCGTTGGCAACACAAAAGTAATACCACAACGGGTGGGTGTGGTCGGTGTCCCCCTGTTGCGGCATAAACAATTTCCAAAGTTGTCAATAAAAAATAAAAAAACAGTGAAGGCGGTTGCAAACTGCTTGAATATCTGAGCAGGTTGAGTGGAAAGGCCAAACCCTTAACGGGCTCTGTGGCAGGATATTTTTTGTACTCTACCTGACTTGTCACTTGCAGTGAGGTGAGCGACAGGAGCGACAAAGGATTGACATATTTCAGGCCCCGACTCAACCACATTTCGTATTCATGAGTACGCAAGGTTCGAGATTTTATTTGAGGGATACTTATTTTTTGATTATTTTGAATATTACTAAGAATTTCAAGAAAATAATTGATTTTCCTCAGGTTCTTTTTCAGTTTAAGCCATAAAAGGGTATGTAGAGTGGTTTCTTACGCCTAGTTCGGTTGGAAAACTTTATTAAACTCATTTGAATTAGCTGGTTGGTTGGTTTTAAAGTTGCCAGTATTTTAAAATGTAAATAGTCGACAATTAGCGGGAAAACGGCGGCATATGCAGGCTGAAAATGTTCCTGCAACACACACTACTCAGTAACACACGGACGTCTGGCACGGACACACACGCACCTGCATAGTGCCGTCTGTCACCTGGCATCAATGCCCCAGATGCCGCTGGCAGTGTTTCCTTGCCCCTTTACCCCTGCGTCCCCCGCGGTCCACCCTTAAACTGAGAACCAAACAATGCAGGCAGCCAAGTGGGAGAGCTCGACAGCAGCGCGGGGCGGTGGAGTAGGTGGGCGGCGGGTGGTGCAGTGCCATTGTGCCATTGTTGGCCACTTTTTTTTTGCCCCCACTGGGTGCGAGTGTGTGCCGAGGCCTGTGTGGCACGGCACGGGGGCATTGTTGAAAGTGATGCCCGACTCCGACTTGTTGCCACATCATCATCATCATCGTCATTAACATCGTCGTCATCGTCGGTGCAGTCCAGTACTTGCCTTGTAATGAGTTTGCCATTTTATTTTATTTATTTGTCCGCGCTTTGTTTCTGACGACAAACAACGACAGCCGTGGAAAATTCTTTTCTGCATTTTAAATACAAATTAAATAATGATTTAAGTGCCCTAAGAGGCTTTGCCGGCACACAGACGCAGCTGGATGTGATTGAGGATTTTCTCGATAGCTCCAGGTGTGCCATTGTCAGATAGTGGAGGAGTATAGTGCCTTTATCATTTAAAGTTTATTGGTTTTATGTTAAATCCTTAACAATGTTCTTTAATTCGTTAAGGCAGTTTTCCATAAAGTTTATCCTTGTTTAAAGTAATTGACCTAGTTTGAGTTTTTATCCAGGAATCCCGCTCATTCATTTACCAAATACCCAACTGACGGCTCTGGGGCCAAGAACCTTTCGAATAGAGATAGAAGTGCTGTTCAATCCGGTTATAGACAGAGATGGCTATACACATTAGAAAGAGACAGGCTCCGAAAGTTGGACAGTTGGTGGCAAAAGGCAGAAATCAAATTACAATTTCAATATGCGATGCGTACTAAATGTCTGCTGGTGGCAGTTTTGGCTTCCAGTGTGCAACATGCAACTTTCAACTTGATGTTTACAGTTTATAGATAAGTACCTACATATACATATAGTATAGTATGTCTATGTTGCCATGAGTCCATGACAGTGTGTTTCTTGTTGCTACATTTTGATTTGGGGGCATATACAAAATGGATTTCTTGCCTGTCCGTTCAAAACATTTCTATGCCGGGCCACAACATTTTAGAGATGGAAGCTCCTTCTAATGGCTGTAAAGCTTCTTAATAGTTAAACAAATCAGCTACCTTTCTTTCTTCTTTATAGAAGAAAAAATAATAATATATTTAAATGGTATATATATTTTGCCAAGATAGTGCCATATTATTGGCCATCTCTATGTGCAAGTTCTGTTTACGTTTGCATTTTGTGTGCGTTTTCCTGTCACTTAATGGAATTTATCACATTTTAACTGCGTGACAGGAGCCAGGCTGCCAGTTGCAGGTTCAGACAGTTGCCACTGGCTCTCCCCCAAAGACTCCGTTTCCTGCCACATTTTGGGAGTCCTGGGCCAGCTCATCTGCATCAGTCACTGCCATGCAAGGGCTATGCCGGACAGAGTGTCACAGTTATTGATTCGATCCATAAATAATGCATGACCAACAAGTGTGCCGGCTTGTTTATTTATTACATGATTTATTCAGGCAAACAACGCTCCAATTAAAAGCCTTTTTAGCCGATTAAGTATAATGTCAAATTCGCTGAACTATCCAGAGCAACTTTGCCACAACTCAACGTCTCCAGACAGCGATTATTAAATGAAAACGTGCCTCGAAAACTTTCTTAGCCTAAATATGAAAGACTTTCAACTCTTTTTCTCGCTTATTTTATTTTTTCAATAACCTAATTTAAGTTATTTTTTCGAGCCCCACTTCGTCGCACTATTAAAAGCAAAAGCTGCCAAAAATTTGTCTCATGGGATAAATAATAAATAATAAGAAAACTTTTTCCCCAACATGCGAATTCTGAAAAAAATGACAAACTTAAGGGGAAGTGAAACTTTTTTTTGAATATGCTGCCGAGCGCTATAAGAGAAAAGAAATATGATAAATATATTTTAAATATGTGTCACGATTATAAGAAGTGCTGCAAGGTCACAGTTCTTCGGAGAAATTTGGATAACCGAAAAATACTTCCTGACTCATGGGAAGAAAATAATTTTAGGGGTTATTGTTCATACAATTTTGAGATGCCAAAGGGGACTTACACTTCCAATCTAAGCATATAGTTGTACATACATAATAAATATATTAATCATGCTCATAGTTAAGCTTAGTGGAAATACAGATTACTCATAGCTTGGATAGCAACTACGGCTTTGACTTTTTATATGCCAAAGAAAACATAAGCTAAGCTTGGATTTCAACAGAATTATATTCTTTGGGCTTAGAGGTCTGTTAACTTTTGTCTCTTTATGGCAATTTAATAGAGTAACGAGAAAATCTGAAAGATACTAGCGAGGTTTTTATCGCAGAGACCCTATTGTCTCGAGACAATCTCGGACCCGCCACTAAATATGTCAAAATAAGGGCAAATTTATACACAAACTGATAAACAGAAATAAAAGCCGGCAGTAGGAAAAGCAGTGACAAAAAATAAAAGAATAAAGGAGACAGGGTACGACTTTTTGCTGGAGGGGTGCAATAGCAAAGCTGCAACAATTCTTATCTTGACACTGTCATCTATCCGACTGAAGCCGGGGAAATTGGCCCGACACCGGGGCTTTTCCTTTTCGAACCCCCCCGCCGTAACCGACCCAACCGTCTTCATCTCCGTTTCCATCTGGGGCCGTTTGTTGTTGTCTTGGCACGCCTATCACTCGAATTGAATCAAATTACCTTGTAATCTTAACCTTAAGGTTATTTGCCATTGCCCACAAAAAGCGCTTTGTGCCCGACTGCGTTTAGTTACTATTTGAGTGAAGCTCTGGTTGGAAGCCTATAAAGGAATAAAATCCCTTCCGCCTGTGACTCGCACCTTTCACACTTGTGCGAGTTTATATAAATGTAAATCTAACATTACAACCTATCATGATTGCAAAGTTTAAGTGACTTTTGTGCCAAAGGCAAAGCTGCACAAAGTTTCCGGTTTTTCGTTTGGCTTTCCCAGATCTTGAATGTGGTGAGTCAATCAAGGAGTGAAGTCTCTATGAACGTTGCTGAAAGAGTTCTTTAAATTGATGGAGATTTGATGAAAAAGTCTTGGTATTCAATAAACTTCTCAATCGGTTTCAAAACACTTATGAATTTGGAATGCTCGTCACTAGCTAAATACTTTTATTAAAATATTATAACAGATAGTAGTAGAATACTCAGCAAAGTATAGTAGATACGTATTTACTCGTTAACGTCGTACAACATCCTCATCAGCTCTGGCACATAATCATCCCACCTAGACTGGAAAATATTTCCAGCTACAGGTACACCCATCTCGTATTTCTGTGCAAATTTCAAAACATCAAAATTGCTGTGGCCTTCTGCGTTACTGAGCTCGAGTTTCTTCTCGTCAAAGTCCAGTTTATCCGATTGCTGGTAGACCAGGATCAGGTAGCGTTGCATGCCACTATCCTTTGGTGGCAGAGGGCCAAAATAGTCCGATATAGACTGCCCCTTCATTACGTCTAGTCCAGGAACATTGACCACCAGCCAATGGAGCCACGACCGGTACATTGGATTCTCGCGGTTCGGCGCATCTGGGCAAATCATGACCACGGTGTAAAAAGATCCGGAATCTGCGCTCCAGTCTAGTTTTGGCTGGAATTTGAGCTCCTTTGGCGTGTAGGTTTTTCCCTCTTCAATGTCAAATGCGTTGTCATACTTGATCTGTATTTGTTATAAAAATATTTAAAAAATAAAATACAATAATTGTATTATCAAGTATGAAACTCACCTTGAGCAGCTCCTTTGGTGGCTCATCCAAAATTTCTGGAACGATTTCCATTTCCTTCATTATCCTTCGAACACTATCGTTCTCGTCCTGACTGCTAGCGGTGGCAAGGAAGCCAAGGAGCAGCAAAATCAACCCGACCAATTTCATTTCAAAACTCGATAAAAACAAACTGACCACCCACTCGTGCCTTCTTATATTCGAAATGTCAATAGAGGATGTAATTACCATAATTGGGCTGAAACTATCGTCATTTTCTAAAATAGTTTAAAGTTAAATGACAGTCAAACAAATGTTTACAGAGTATTTTGGTTGATTGGTCCAACAATGGCTCTGTTATACCTTCATGATATAATTGACACTCTAGAATTGATATTTACTCTGCAAATAAAATATAAAAATAATAATAGTCACGCAGCCCTCACAGTTAGAGACTGTGGTTTTTTGTAGGTTTTGTGTCGGAATTTATGACCTTTAACTGCTATAGAGTTAGCCTTTTTAAGTTCGCTCAAGCTTGAGCAATTATTTTCAACTAAATCTTAATGAGTTCTTTGTAATTCATTTGGCCTCGCTCACATGAAGAAAATAGGGGGCTGGCGAAGCCCTCCACTCGGAAAAAGCATTTACATGCCAATTATAAAAAATTCCAATCCGGCCAGAAAATTGCGATGCGAGGGAAAAAACGAGCACAATTCAGAAATGGCTGGCGAATTGGCAACATGTGCGTCTAATGTGCGCACATTAGCAACACAAATGCAGCCGAGAAACAAGGACGAAGGACGTAGGAGTTAGTCTGGAAGCCAAAACTCATCGCTGGGCGGAAGCAAAAGTAGGAGACGAGACATGAGACGGAGGCTTAACAGGAGCAAGGATTCGAGCCTGAGCAAGGAGTCTGAAGCCAGAACCAGAACCGAAGCCACTCAAGCAGACGAACGCACTTAATTTATGCAATTTGGTTAACAACGTTAAAATAGTAGACGAGGCCAAGAGGGGACCAAGGATGCCAGACATAAATCAAAATGGGAAACAATAACCCGCCAGCGCAGAGCTAGTAAGATAAATACACGGAAAGAAATGACTTTTAATATTAATATGTAACTTTCACATATTTTTTGATAACAATAACTTTTTAAAGGAAGTGATGATAAAAAATGATAACTAAAACGAATCAATTAATAGGTAGATTTAATATTTAGAGTATTATTTTTTTTTTTTCAGTGCACACACACATGTGAAGAGTATGCCTGGCAGATGGGGGAACTGTAGCGAAAGGAGTAATAAGGATAATGAAGCGGCAGCATTTGCGGCATGCAACCATAGGGCTCTTGCCTTGCAAACGATGGTGGGCACGATAATGACGGATCTTTCAACCAAGTATTTTCAGTCACCAGTGTCGCAATGTTAGTCTTTCGTCAATATTTGCTCAAAAAGTATCTTAATATTCGGCATTATTATAGATTAATTAGCTCATTGATGGCACTGCTGCGCAAATCTATTACAAAAATGAAAGAATACAAAATATGGAGTTCATAAAAAATCATTCCGTTAAATAGTTTTTGAAACATAGATCTTTACAATGTAGATCGTGCTAAGGTTCTGGTATTTTCCCATTTTCTTATGAAATTTTCCTCAAATAGGCTTACAACCATAAAGGAGCATCCAGATGGCGTGCTGGGATTTATTCTTTGAGGCAATAGTTGTGGCAGCTTAAATTTAAGTGACCTTTTCGGTAAATGGACAAGGCTAGAATCATGGTCAGTTAAGCAGTTCACCAACTAATCAGATATCTGGTACTACAGGAAACTTTTCAATAGTATTATGATGGAAACGCTCTTTTACATTAACGCCATGGAAGATACTTAATAAGATCGAAAATTTTAAAAATACATTCATGCTTTTATTCATACACAAGTTTTATATAATTCTGCAAATCGAAAATTATGGAGCACAATAATTACGTTGTCATATGGTTATAAATAAAATCCATCATGTTTGTGGTGAGTATATTAGCTACATCTGCACTTCTTGCACCGTTACCAACTGTTTTACTCACTATTCCAGCCAGGCAACTAGACTCGTTACCAACTTTTCTGACCATTCCACTTCCGCTGTCCCCCTGGTTAAACGTCTCGGGTTCAACTTTTACATCTATCAGAACCCACGAATCGGAAATTGTACGAATCGCTTGCGTTTGGACGACACTTCTGTCCTTTATTTTTCCTTCCGCGTCCCACGAATATATTTTGAAGCCACTGCTGTCATTAAGATGAATTTTTTGACTGCAAATGCAAATTGACATATGGTTTCGATGTACCGCCCTCCATTTCTTTAAGAAGATAAGCCCCACATCGTTCTCATAATTTTCTGCTTTTTTATAAAACCTTTAAAACGGATTTGTGTCTATTAAGTTTCTGGATATAGCACGGATACAATTACTAATACTTACGGATGTGTTTCTTTTTTTGAAACCAAATTTTCGTCACTGATATTCTCAAGGATCAAATTGCCATCTCGTTCCTTGCCAACAATTAAGAAGGATACGTTTACTTCATGAATGCAATGGGCCGCAGTCACCACCATGTCCTGCCGAATAAGGTTTCCATTGCAGATAAAATCCAATTTGGACGTGGTGTAGTTTTTTTTATAAATAGGCACCAGCCAATAATAATCTGTTTTGTCCTTCTTTTCTATAGGATGAGTTGATATTGGTATTTTATCTTCACTTTCTAGCATGTATTCGTTATTACAGCGGTATTTACAAATATTATACTGATTCTCGATTAAATATTTTATTTCTGACCACATTCCAGATTCCTCGCACTGCAACTGTGGCCATTTTTGTGGATAATTGTCGAACCCAGCCTGGCAATCGAAAGTCACTGTCGTCCCAGGAATTAGTAAATTCTCGTCTGAACAATCAAAATTTTGTTGCGAACGCCCCTTGCATTGCATTTTAAATACATTTAATTTTTCTATCTCAGTGTAGTTGCAGAGTCCTGAAAAAAGGAATTAATGAAGAATATAACAATTAATGGTGAACTTTATTTAATTGAAGAAAGAATATAGGCTTGTGATGTTACGTTCTTATTATCTTTAAAGCCATATGATCTTTCTTTAAAATACGATTTTGAATAATTACTTGTGCAACTGGGTATCAGATTGTTATCCCACATTTTGTTATCATGGCAATGGATATATTTGTTGCGAAGCGAACTTGGTACTAAACTATAACCAGGAGAGCATTCTAGCTTTACTACCATGTCGATAATCGGAGGTTTAATTTCCTGTTGTTGATACAAAATCTTCATTTTCTTATTATTGTAATTTTCGATTGGGCATCCATTTTTGCCATTTGTGTTCGGATCAGGATCAACCGGTTTTCGTTGAATCTCACTCCAACAAAATGTATGATTCCATGTTCCGTCCAATTTACATACATTCCACGATTTTTGCCCCTGGTGTTCGCATTTAACCTCGGCGGGTTCATTGGCGTACACAAATCGCCGTTTTTCTTTTAACTGAAAGTTAGTATTTTTCGTAAATGTATATTTGTAGGGTTCGTAACACTTGATTAGCTCTTCGGTTTCATATCCACACATAGTAGGAAGCTCGTCGGAACCGTCAAAGCAGTCAATGAAACCGTCGCACACTTGCGATTCATTGAGGCGAACGCCGTTGGCGCACCGCCAGCATAATTCCTCGTCTGGAAGGCAGTTTTGCCAACACGCCACTATGGACTCATCCCGCCCGTTGTCACAGTCGATAACGCCATCACACTTGCGGCTATCTGATATGCATTGGTTCTCATAACACTCAAATTGGTTCCTGATCGAATGTCAAAGTTAAAAATGGGTCGCCTCCATGGTGATTAGAACTTACTCGGGGCAATTTCCTCGAAGTTTTTTGATCAGCTCTGTTTCGTTATTAGGCTCACAAACTTGTACCAATTCATCGGATCCGTCAGGACAATCAGCTTTTTTGTTGCACACTTTATCGGGTTCAATGATAGACCCAGAGACGCATTGAAAAAATTTTTTGTACTCATTCATCCGATTCAGTTTTATCTTACACCGCGGAAAGGATTCATCACTGCCATGTTTGCAATCTTTTATCCCATTACATATTTTGTAATAAGCGTCTAAGCAAGTGTTGTTTTCGAAACATCTTAAATCTTCTTCACATTCCTCGGCTGCAAGGGAAGGAATTATCAGAACACATGCCAGCGGAATTAAAAGCCAACGCGATCCTATGGAACTCATGCTTGTTCGGGCTCCGGCACTCAACTGACTGACATCGGTCTTTGGATATAATATAAGAAATACTTGCAGATAAAATATGATTTTCTCTTTCTTGCCTTTTTTTTCTTATATTTTTTATGTTTATTTTAAGCTTTCTAAAGAATTTTTCGTTGTGGGTTCTTAGAAACGTGATAAGAGGAAAGGGTGCCGAAATATTCGAAAGCTTTTTGTTTTTTATATTTTTTTTCTTTACATATGAGAGATTTTTATACGTACGTTTAAATAATAAATCAGTCTTATTAAAAACATATTCGTAGTGCGCGTTGGACTGACACACACTCGTTGAAGAAAATTTACAACAAAACGATTTTCCACTCGACATAAGCTCAAGTGGCCCGCCCACCCGATCCACGCCCCTCGACGGACGGAAACTCAATCTGCTCTTTCCGTTTAAACAATTTTCCAAAAACTTGTTTATAACTCAATTTTTGCACACCCAAGCACCAAGCACAAGCAAAACGAAATAACACTTAAATAAATAAACACAAAAAGTGCTTACCCAATGCCAAAGTTGGAAAATGAACAATTCCATTTTGCGATTCTGAATGTGTTTGATTGTGAATGGAAAACTCAGCCGGCGAATGGGTGGGTGGTGGATTGGTGGGCGAAAAGCTCTCTGTCTGAGTTCTGGTTCACACGCATGTAATACACAATAGTGGTACTTTTTCTATTGTTGTTGTTGCTGCAGCTCTTAACATGGCACGCGAAGAATCCTCCAAAAACGAAATGGATATATCCAGGGGCTTTTAGTGTCCCATCCCGATCCCCCCCCATCACGAACAGTTTGGAATTTCAAAATGGCATTGCATAGAGTGTGTGTGAGTGTGTGTGTGTGACTTTCGGCAGGATTATATGAAAGGACACAATAATATTTGATGTAATACGTTTATTTTTACCTTAATTTAATACAAATTATACTTAATTCAATTTATTTTAAAATATCACCAAAAAAATATATAAGAAAAATAAAAAGGATACCACGCTTGTAAAAATAGCATTATGCCTTTTCGCTTTCAATAATTCGTATTCATATCTGCTATTGACATTTTATGCATGACATTCTTTTACTTGTGGCATCGTCCTCGTGCAGCGCATCATCAGTGGCCCCGCTTGGTACTCCCAGTCCTGTCAACATCCTTTGCCCATGTCAAGAGAGGCGGGCAAAAAATTTGCCTGAAAATGACGCGAGTTGTCAACGTGAATTAAAATAATTGATTTATTTTAACGGAAGTTAAGCGAATAAACAAGCTGCCGGGTGAATCTGTTGCTGGCAAAAAAAAGGCAAAAACAAAAAAGAAAAGAAAACCATGAAAAAGGCAACCGCACTTGAAGTTGTCAGCTGCAGGACAAAAACAGAGTCCTTTTTGTGCGAGCAGATATAAATAAATAGAGTTTTAAAGATGGAAGCTGGGCTAAATGTTCATTTGATGAAATTATTAGGGAAGCAGACAAATTAGGAAAGGGTTTCCCCGCAAAGGTCCTTCGTCCTTATCTCTACTGATGCGCAATGTTGTGTAAATTGTCAAAAATTATTAATTGCCATCGTTATTTCTGACTTGATGGCCCAGGGCTGGTTTTTCGGAGATGTCTGGCCCACCATACTACCCCCGTCCGACCACTTTAATTAGCCAATAAATGCCGCTGCGAATGAGAATTAATGCCGCTTGTTAACCGTTTGCGATTTGTTATCGTTAACAGCAAAAATTTTCTTGTTATTATCGCTGAATGTTTCTGGGTCTTAGGCTCCTTTCAGGAGTCGGTCGCCTTGCAGGTTCTTGGGATCCTTCGGGGTTAATCGTTTTGTTGCCTGCTGGTTGGCGAATATTTTACTCACTCTTTTTATTAGTCGTCATTAATATTTTTATTGGATTTGCTTGGCAACTTTCGGTTGCGGTTCGTTAATAAAAACATAAACGCAAGTAATGTGCCCATTTTTTTATTTATGGACAGTTACCTTTTCAAAAAAATGTGCAGTGCTACATTTTCGTGGAATAATGATCAAATAAATTAAATTATTCTACTTTAAAGTTGGTTGATGGCCAATATCCGAAAAACCCCTCTAAAAGTTAAAGGCTTATTCGGCTTCGCTGCCATACATTTAGCCAGACATTTCATTTGGCCATAAGCCTTGCCTATTGCCTTAGTTTTTATCTCGGCTTTGCCACAAATTGCATTCAAATGCAAACCGCAGGAGTCACATTAGGATGCAAGGAGTCGTAACCCAATGCGGCCGTACTTTGTCTTCCAAAACCTCTCCGCAATATCCACACCCACTCCCCCAATTGCACCCGATTCTTGGCCAAAAACTGGAGCAGGACTGGAGCAGAGATGGGGAGCCTGGGAGAAGGAGATGGAACATTAGATAAGGAAGGAACGAGAGAGCAAAGCGAAATTTCTGTTTTATTGCGGTTTATGAAACGGTTCATAAATAAGTATATATACGTATGAGTGTGTGCGGATGCATTTGCGGTGCATGTGTGTATATGTAACTACAGTCTTTGAAGTAGTATAAGGATACAGTATTTATTAAACAAAAAAATCTTGAAGCACTGAATCGACTCAAAAATGATTCAAGATCCTTTGAAAAATAAGAAAAACCAAGCGCTCTTTGGAACGCCTTACAATTCCGAAACGCAGTGTATGCGGTTAGGTATGTAAACCCAATTTACGTCAGAATAACTGAATTTCGGCGTGGGGAGCCAACTGTAAGGGAGAGATGAAGAATATGGCCAAAAAGTTGAACGTATGCAGCTGAAAATAGGTTACATTCGACAAATGGCTGAGATTTTGGTTGTGGCTGTTGCAGAGTGAAACCCCAGCCTCATTTAAACTTTTTCAAGCAACAAATTTGTGGATGTATTAAAAATTAAAGACCAATTTGGAGAATCCTTTTATCGGAACTCATGCCCCCAGCTGCCTGCGAACCAAACAAAACTTTTCACCAATAAATAACGAGAAAAAAATTTAATCATACTTGGCCCAGAGACAAAACTTGGCCATTATCAGACATTAGCGAAAGTTTCTCGTTCAAATTTCACAACGAATTTAACATTAATTTGACAATTTACATCGCAGCCGCCAAATGGCCCGAGGCCGTCGAGGAAAACCAAACAAATAGCCAAGTTGGGCAACGGAAAATGCGAAACCAAATGAATATTCAATTTCAAGTTGATTCCTTGACGGAAGTTGAAATATCTGAAGAAAGTATTTGAAAGATATTAGAGAAACTTTTAAAGTAGCCTGTTTAAATTGTATCGTTGGTATTTTCCTAATAAATTTCAATATTCCATAATAACCCTCAACTTCAATCCATAACACTGAACCACTATCCATCAATAACCCTTCATGGCGGGCACTCAAAATATTTATCACTGCATTGCCGAAATAAAGCAGAAAAAAAATGGAAATTTGTGTGCACTTTCATTGATTGAACGCTGGCCGGCACGACTGGACCTCTATTAGGGGGCCATTCACAGAGTTCTATATCAAATTTCACATCTATATTTTACCAAGCTCGTATGCACAATTCCCAAAGTGAAAAATCTCCCAAAAAAAAGAACCATACTGGGGCCGAATAAAAAAATGAATGAAGGTAGTGCCGGACCATAGAGAGACCATAAATTTTCCAGTCTGCCTACGCTCATTTGCACAGCGGATTAAAGGGTCTCGTCGGGGTTTTGCACCTCCCACCACCCATCCCAGACCCAGCCCCATCCTCTTGTCTCACTCACCATTTATTATGCCTTTGCGTTGGGATTTTCTTGGTTTTCGTTTCGCTATTTTCTTATTTTTTTTCGTTGTTTGCTGCTGCTCGGAGCGGAAAGCTTGCAAAAGTGATTAATGCAGAAGTCGGAGGCCAGGACTGGGCGCAGGACCTGCCTGTCGATGGTTGCGTTGTGCCCGAATCCGAGGCACCCGGCAAATTTGCCAGCGCGAATAGAAAACGCCGCACCGCTCTGGC